CCTCCACCAAATAACAGAAAAGTATGGATAGTGGTATCGATAAAGACTCGGATCGATAAGGAGTATCGATAAAGACGCGGATCGATAAGGAGTATCGATAAAGACTCGGATCGATAAGGAGTATCGATAAAGACTCGGATCGATAAGGAGTATCGATAAAAGTATCGATATCAATAAATATTAACCATCCCCATCCCCTGGAAAAGCAAATGAGTTCAGTTCTGCTGCCTTAGAGCTGAACAGGAGTGAGTGAGTGAGTGATCGGCTCTGTGGAGGCAGCTATGCTAACCACTACACCACCCCTCCTCCACCAAATAACAGAAAAGTATCGATAGTGGTATCGATAAAGACGCGGATCGATAAGGAGTGAGTGAGTGAGTGAGGACTGACCCACATGGCGGACGCTCTCGGTCAGGGCCTCCACGAACCCCCGGACGCGGCCGGCCACGGCGTAGGCGTTGCTGCTGATCTGCCGGATGTTTTCCAGAACCGCTGGAAGCAGCACAGGCGTGGGGTCAGGTGTGGGGTTTCTCCCAGCTCTGCGGGAGCCGCGCCGGCCTTACAGAACAGGGGCGTGGCCGCCTTCTGCATCAGCTCCTGCGTCTGATTGGCCGCCAGCTCGGCGCCGCACAGCAGGCTGGACGCCGCCCGCTTGGTGTTCTCCAGCGTGTTGCTCAAGGGCCCGGTCAGCAGCGCCGACGCAAACAGCAGCAGGAGGAGCTTCCTCCCGTGGCCTGGAGGACATGTTTCTGTTTCATTTCTACATCAATTTAGTTTCAGTAAAAATATATTTTTTTGTTAATTTCAATTTTTAAAAATCACACTGAAATTACACTGATTTTAATTTAGTTTCATATTAATATTATTTAGTTTATCATTATAATTATATTTATTTAGTTTCATATCAATATTATTTAGTTTAATATTATTTTATGTTCATTGTGCTATTAATTTGCTTTGTTAGCAACATTAGCAGCGCGGACAGAAACAGCAGCAGGAGGAGCTTCCTCCCGTGGCCTGGAGGACATTTTTCTGTTTCATTTCTACATCAGTTATGTTTAAGCTAATTATTACTTTATTTTCATTAAAAATATTTTTTTGTTCATTTCAATTTTTAACTCATTGACTGGCAGCCATTTTCAGAACAGAGTCGCTCACTGCCAGAGTTTTTTGAGCATTTTGACGGATTTTTCTAGAGCCACAGAATAGTTTGTGCTATGACTATGTAAACACCGAACACACCAAAAGAAAGAGTAGACTCTCTTCTTTCATCAGGAAAAAAGATTTTGTTTCTACCTCATTCCGTTCTTATTCGATGTGCGTCTCACCTGCGCCATTTCTCTCATAGCGAACTATTGCGTTTGTTTTTATTTGCCTACAGTCTATGCTAATCTCCCATCAAAAGTGGCACAGCTACCTAGAGGGTAAATTTGTTAGTCCATACTCTGTCTAGAAGCCGATATTTACGGGAAAACTTTCGCCGATCGTCCCCCAAAGCCACTCGCATTGAAAAACATAAAAGACGTCTATAGACGTCTTTGGCAGCCAATGAGTTAAAAATCACACTGAAATTACACTCTGATTTTAATTTAGTTTCATATTAATATTATTTAGTTTATCATTATAATTATTTAGTTTCATATTTAATATTATTTAGCATATTATAATTATTTAGTTTCATATTAATATTATTTAGTTTATCATTATAATTATATTTATTTAGTTTCATATCAATATTATTTAGTTTAATATTATTTTATGTTCATTGTGCTATTAATTTGCTTTGTTAGCAACATTAGCAGCGCGGACAGAAACAGCAGCAGGAGGAACTTCCTGCCGTGGCTTGGAGGACATTTTTCTGTTTCATTTCTACATCAATTATGTTTATGTTAATTATCAATTATTTTTTTTAATTAAAAATATATTTATTTTCTAAAAATGACATAGATGTTTTGATTAATATTTTTTTTTAAATTATTTAATTATCCATTTAATTGTTATGTATTTTCTATTAATTTCAATCTGATTTTAATTTAGTTTCATATTAATATTATTTAGTTTATCATTATAATCATTTAGTTTCATACTAATATTATTCAATTTAATATTATTTTATGTTTGCTTTGTTAGCAACATTAGCAGCGCCGACACAAACAGCAGCAGGAGGAACTTCCTCCCGTGGCCTGGGAGACATGTTTCTGTTTCATTTCTACATCAATTATGTTTAAGCTAATTATTATTACTTTATTTTCATTTTAACAAAATCTTTTTGTTTATTTTAATATTTTAAAATGACATTGATCTTTTAATTAATCATTTAAGAATTATTTATTTAATTATTTATTTAATTATTTATCTAATTGTTATGTATATTCAATTAATTTCAATCTGATTTTAATTTAGTTTCATACTAATATTTTATGTTCATTGTGATATTAATTTGCTTTCTTAGGAACATAAGCAGCATCGACGCAAACAGCAGCAGGAGGAACTTCCTCCCGTGGCCTGGGAGACATGTTTCTGTTTCATTTCTACATCAGTTATGTTTAAGCTAATGATCAATACTTTATTTTTATTTAAAATACATTTTTTTGTTTATTATATTATTCTACTGCTCGGCCATTCTAACACAAAATTCATATTATTCTTTTAATTCATAATCTAATCTAATTAATTATTTAATTGTTATTTTTCCCAATTAATTTCAATCAGATTTTCATTTTGTTTCATATTGTCAATATGATTTACTTTATCATTATAATCATTTAGTTTAATACGACTACTATTATTTTTTGTTCGTTGTGATCTTAATTTGCTTTATCTTAAATCATATGGATTTATGGATTTTATTCAAATCACATTTAATTAATTTGATCTAATAAAATGTTTTGCTCTAATCTTTTTACAATTTAGGCACCAAGACAATATGTCTTATTTTCTGTGTTTTCTAACTTTGCTCAGGATGTCTCAATCCTGATGCTCTGACCTCTTTTGTCCGTCTGGTTTTAGTCGTTGCTTCTGCACCTCCATATATTAGTGAAATTCTGAGGTTTCACCAGACCAGCAGACCAAAAACTGTGGAACTCTCTGCCCACTGAGTTACGTTCATTCACTGACCTGCCTCTGTTCAAAGCTCACCTTAAAACGTATTTGTTCAGGATGGCTTTTTGCACGTAGGGTCTCTGTATACTGGGTTCTGTCACCGATGTGTTTGTCTTTGTGTATTATTTTGTATTTTTCGATAGTTTGATCTGTTTTTTTTTTGTTTTTTTAATTCTGTAAAGCACTTTGATCAGCGCCAGTTGTTGTAAGGGGCTATATAAATAAACACTGATTGATTGATTGATTGATTGATTGGTTGGTTGATTGATTGGTTGGTTGATTGATTGATTGATTGATTGATTGATTGGTTGATTGATTGATTGATTGATTGGGGGATGGATGAGGTTCTGACCTGAGCACATGGAGGGCAGCATGACCGTTACGGTGGCCCTGACGCCGGCGGACAGCCCCATGCCGAAGGCGGCGAGGCCGGCCAGCGCCACGGTGCTGTAGACGCAGAACCACAGCGGCTGCCTCTGCAGAAGCAGGGCCGCGGCGCCGTGCAGGGAGGCCAGCAGCAGCCCCGCCCCGAAGGCCGCCAGGCTGAGCCCCGCCTCCCACAGGTGGGCCCGGACACGCCCGCCTCTGACCCCGCGGCAGCCGCCCGCCGACCTGAGGAGAAACAGCAGAGGAGAGAGCTGAGGAAGACTCAGACTTAGACAAAGACTTAAACTATATTGATCCCTTGTGAAGACTCCCTCAGGAAATTAAGGTTACCAGCAGCTTACAGGGCAAAAAAGTGGCTCAAAGAGAGCAAAATTAAAGGAGACATGTTATACCCTATTTCAACATATATATAAATATATATATATATCTTAGACAGTACTTTATTGATCCCTTGGGAAGACTCCCTCAGGAGTTACCAGCAGCCAACAGGGCAAAAAAGTGGCAGAAAGAGAGCAAAATTAAAGGAGACATGTTATACC